CAGATCTGCGCAAAGTTTGATTGGAAGAGAATGACGTTTTTTTTAATGGAATAGGTACTTACAGCTCGCCTTTGTATTGTACCATAATATGTACCCTGTTGTTTCTGAAAAGTTAGGTACACTAATGCCCGTTTTCACCATCAATCCCTAATTTTTAAGTGACCCGTATGTAAACAAAATTCCTGTTATGTGTTACCATATGAGATCGGAGTCACTTAAAAATTAGGGATTGATGGTGAAAACGGGCATAAGTAACTTATTTAACTTCTTGGCCATAATTTTAGCGCCCTACATCATCTGTAATTTATTGAAACTATTGTGGCTTAAGTGATGAAATAATAAATCTTTAGATTGGAAATAAACTTGGTTTTATTTTATCAAACAAATAAAACAATAGAAACGCGCACACCGTGACCATAGACCGGAGAGAGTAGAGATGTGCATAGACAACACAAAACGAGTTGCGTTCACACTTCATCATTAAGTACTCCTCCAAACACCCACGGTTTTTAAACCTTACATGTAGGTATGGCTGCCGCGTAAAAGCGTTAACCAATAACCTAATTTACCGGTAACACAATTAAAATAACATTCGCGTGGCATTGATAATAACTTCCTCATAATAAATATTACTAGTTACTAACCGGCACAAAACCGTAGTATCGTGGTCGATTTACCGTCGCTTCCTTAAATACTACTGAATTAATGATTTGAATTATTTACTACTTAGTTGGTAACGCCAGAGGGTTCGGTAATCAACAAGTTTTAGTACAAGTAAAACTGCTACTAAAACTAAAAGATGAAGAAGATTAAAGAGAAAAATTACACACTGAAACGTGCTGAAGCTGAAACTAGGTACAAGCAAGCAATAATATTTAAATTTTCCCTCCAAAAGAAAAACTACTAAAGTCAAAAGACGGAATGTTCCGAATTGATCAATCTGAATATCCTGGAACGATGTGCAAAAAGTTAAGATGAGTTAAATACTTTTCACCTTGAATAAAAATATTATTTTACATTATTTAATTATTTTTAAATCATGATAAGAATTTTTATTATCTTTTAAGTCTAATTTAATACAAATTCAAAAGTGCTAGAAGTAATTTATGCTCAAATCGGAACGCACCGCTAATCGCTAGGTCTGCAAAAACTACCATTAAGCAATGGCAATAATTTTTTGATGGTGGAATAGTGTTGTTTGTAACTTAAGAATTAAACTCTGANCGGGCTTTATAGTTCCTAGGTTTCTTTTTTAGAGGCTCTATCCACTGTAAACACGTCTTTGTTTCGATGAAACAAAAAGTGAAATAAACGGACATGAATAGGCGCAACTGTATGAAGTTAGTAAAAAATGCTAATAATGAACACACAGTGAATAAACATTAAGTTTGTAAAACATCTAGCCTAGGTACCTACATGAAGTAGGAAAACAGCTGAAATAATAGGTAAGTACCAACCTACGATCAAGGCCGGATTGCAAAGTTCAAGTTTCCTCTCATCATGTCAGTTATTAATATTTACCATAGCCTATATTTCTATGAACATCAATATTGACAGTCAAAGTAGATACTATTTTAGGACAAAAAAACAATTGGGATATAAAATTAATTTAACGTATATTTGCGCTATCGGGATCATCATCATCATCTTAGCAACAAGACGTCCATTGCTGAACATAGATACGCCTCCCACAATGATTACCACCTATTATCGCTCTTAAATCGCAGTAAAAAGCTCCCAATCCTTTGAAAACCTTTGTTTCGAATAGTTTCTAAAAAAATGGTTTCCGATCAATCTCCGGCAAAACTAGGTTAAGTACCTACCGTATAACTACGATCTAAGAGTAAAGTTCGATCTTTTAATAGCCGAATACACGAATAGCCCTTCTTCCCGTGACGTCAAGCGTTCGAAACACAGCCAAAACCACACTTCTTCGCAAGTAGGCCGGTTGTCATAGGGTTGCCTATTTTATTGATTTTATCGTGCAAAAATGTGTTTAAAAGGCTCTGAGCTTAAAATTAAGGACCCCTTAGGGACTACACATCAACAGAGAACGGTCAGCAGCGCTCTCTGTAAGCAGCTAATACGTACCCAGTCTACCTGAAAACAAAAAATTATCTAGACCTTCCCTGGTTGGGTTTTATTGCGATCTAGCTGTAGATCCTGGCTACACAGGAGTTGCAGCGGTGGGAAAAAGAGGTGGAAATAGTCCCGTACAACGCACTCCGCCTAAAAAAACACATTTTTTTTTTGGGTAAGCACCAAGTTAGTCTTTATAGAATACAGCTGGGTATCCTTGACTATTATATACCTTTGGCAAGTATTACAATAGTCATCAGAATCTTTATCGCCGAGGCTTGGAATCTGCGTGGGAGTTGTATTAGGTCATTTGGTTTGCAATCATTTTAACGCATGTTGATGATGCGACACGACTCAACTTTGTTATTCACAATATAATTAACACCAATATAAAGTTAACATAGCAAATTAAAATATTGGATCATTAACTATAATGATGTGCATTAAAATTATGAAAATGACATTAGCAATGAGGTTTTATAAACGTAGAGTTTTGACGATCTTCTAACCACATATACCTACCTAATAAGATATCGTAGCAAGTTCCCTTCATACTAATCAACGTCTGCATCCTCTAATAAGATACTATTCCAAGCAAATCCATTACGATACTTAAACATTTTAACTTAAAATACTGATTTCTTAACAGAGTGCCAACCATAGCTCACCCACACCTCTGAAACTGTGTCAAAACATTTTAAAAATATTGTTACATAGGAAAAAAGTTATTTGATGTGACAGGCCTATTGTTGAACACTCTCTCGTGAAGACAAAACTCGCACCACTAAATCAAACAATAAGTAGGCGGATCTTCTAATATTAATACACAACAAACAGCTGTGAGAGACTTATGTTGGTACATAATAATATATCAAGATCTAAAAAAATGCTGATTTTCTTTTAGAGTTTTTCGTTATGATGTGTCATGACGTCAAAGAATAAGATTTTTATCGTTAATATAGCCACTTTATCAGTTAGGAGTACGTAAGACTATAAGAAACTTCAGTGTCTTCAGAGTCTTTGGTTCATGTCCTATGAAAAGACAATCAAACGCATTTTCTAGCATTAGGTAAAGTTTCAGACGTCGTTACTAACGCAAAACCTGAAATTACTCGATTCAGATTTAAAAGTAACATTTTGTTATACAAATGGATGACCATACATCAATTTTAAGTTTCCTTGTGGGCTTCAGGAGTTCAGGACATAGCCAAAGCCTTTTGAAATTTTAGAGGTTCCATTAAGGTGATGCAAATCCCGTTTTTGGAGACCTCCTCCTTTTGTTGAAGTTGGTTAAATAAACATAGACTACATGGAAATTGGGTAGGTATTTCATGAACTTCCCGATGATCAGTCTTGAACTTATTTTCCGCATTTTCCTTCAATTTTTCCTGTAAAATAGAGAGTTCATGAATAGTAAAATATTATGATAACTTTCTTAAATGATAATTTAATGGGAAAATCAATTTCTTAATTAGGTAGTTTATTCATTAAATTCACTAACGATTTGACCGCAGAACTGTAGAATACTAGTATAAATGCATGCCTTCACACAATTTAACCTATCAACATCAACGCTACCATGATGAATTGAAAAGCTTTACTGCATTTAATCGTTGCACCAGTTGGATAAACTGCATAAGCAGACAATGTAGTGCACGCACGATACTAATCTGGCCTGGTTGCGCGCGCGCAGTCCCGTTACGCCGTGGGAGGAGCCATGGTGCGAAACACCATTGCATTGTCTACCCACCATGCTTCTTACTATTGTACTTCTTATAGAAATACTGCTTTGAAGTACTTACTTGGAATCCCTGCCATTTTGTGTTTCGTGGACTTGAAGATTTACGCAACAAGATTGGATTGGAGGATTAATTTTACAACTCTACATTCTCGTGTTGAAAGGACCTTAAAATTGCCTGTAGAGCTTTTAATTTTGAAATTCAGTGTCTTTAGTACATAATCGATTATACGCAATACTATCCTCTATCTATTACATTTGTGTCAAGATTTCAGTAGAAAACGTTTTTGTAAAAGCTCTACACTTACCAACAACACCATATAAGTCATGGAGCGGGTTTGAATCTATTGAGTGTAAGGTACTTGATACAAATNGTAAATGATTATATGTTGTTTTACTGTGTTAAAAACACGTTTTTTTCTATTTAAACTCTAAAATGTACATAATAATTAGTGTACATTGAATTGACACAACAAACAATAGTTCATTCTTGTAAGTTGTACTTGATGAAATTTCATTTCATATTATTTATTAATAATTCAAAGCAAAAAAGGCTTATTACATATGAATTGTCAAAAAATGACAGCTGTCAGAATTCCGTCGAATTAAAAATCGGACTATAATCGATTCTGTGTTGTCTTATCTGTGCCGTTGTGTTTGTCTGTTTTAGGTGTGCACGCTAGACTATACCTAATAGCACTCAAACCCAAGGTTTATAACTTTTTATACCGTGTAATGGCTATGCTCACGTGACATTGGCAAACGTGGAAACACAATAGCCTTATAGGAGAAGAAGAAGAAGAAGAAGAAGATTTTTTTTCGAATCAGTCAAACCTTAATAATGTCGTAATATTGTATTTTCTGACTGATTCTTAATATTGAGGTATTCCAGTTTTTGTTAAATGCTTTCATTTTAAAGAACGTACTTTTGTATTAATGAATTTATATGACTCAATAAAACAATATTGAATCATAATCGAATCTGTTTTGTTATTTAGTCAATTAGCAATTTGTTGAAAATAATTGGTAGACGATTAATCTCGAAAAAATATACGAGTTCAAAAGTAATCACTGTCGATTTAACAAATGAAATCAATTTCTTCTCGATGTCCACAATGTTTTTCTTAAAATAACTACCATTGTAAGTATTTAGTAGAAAATATTTTTTGTAGTTCTGGCAACCCTCAGTTTCAGGCTGGTCTCTTCCGTGTGTGACTTTTACGTTTATTTTTTTAATTTCTGAGCGAAATTATAAAATGTATACTGTCTCAAAAGGACCTAGCAAGATTGTCGCTAAAACTCGACGAGGTAAAGTGTTTAATTTGCTCGACTGTGACATAATTACAATGTGATAATGTTGTGAGAGCGTGAAATGATATCTTCGTGATCCTCACTTTCAGGTCTCTCACAGAATCTAGAAAGACTGGACAGCCGCAAGGATCATAGCAGGAAGTCTTCGGAGTCCGACAATGGCGAGATTGTCAAGTATGTATTGCTACAACTAACTGTATGATGCAATGCGGGATGTTTTAATAATTTCATCAGTGTTTTTACATAACCTCTAACCGGGGCGCCTTCTTGTTTGTAACCAAGGAGGATTATAACACTGCCACCCTATCTGAACCATGGGTATTGCATATTGCTTTGATTGATCTTTAAGGTAATAACATTAAATGATAAACAAACCATTAAAATTTGAGAGGAAGTGATGTAACTGACCTGGGGCAAACCTCCATTGATCTGAAATTATGGTGGGAGAATTTACATCAAATGTAAAAATAATATTATACAATACTATTGGTAAATTCAAAATAATATGTGATTTCTTATTGCATATTTACTTTTTCAGCATGCCCAAACCAGTGTTCCATTCCAACGGCAAAAAAACAGTTCACCAGAGAATACAACATCATGTGATCACACCACAGCATGAAGAAATCATTAGATTTATAAGTGAAAGTAAGTATTTTTGCTAAAAAATCATAATATTTTATATGTTGTTGATACAAATTAATGATTGTCAGTGTATTTCATTACGGGCTACTTTCTGGAGTTGCCTGAAATATGACAATATTGAATTATGTCAATATGCTTAGATTTCCATCTTATTTTATGTATGTATGAAAAATCAATGAGTGTGATCACTCAATGCTCAATGCAGTAATGCATGAACTGATGTTCATGCATTATTTTCCTGTTTTAAATTCTGACCTGTAGCCTTGGTTGTGTTTCTGATTTGATTACATATTACTAATACACTTACTTAATTGTTAATTTTAGCTTGGACACAAACAGCATATGGCGAAAGTGAGCCTACAACACCAACTAGTACAATTGGTAAGTAAATAAATACCTGCTTACATTATTAAATTAGATTCTAGAAATAACTGATTTTTGATTCTACTAAATTAAGCATATTTTAAAAGATTAAATCTGTCACAAAGAGGGCAATTTTTCTAAATCTGACCTAGAACCTCCACAAGACAGGCAATGCCTAGTGTTGAGGTCTGTCTTTTGTTTTGTACTAACTTGATCTGGCAGTAAATATTTTCATTTGTTTAAATACACTGTTTGCATTAATTCTAGGGTCAGGATCAGGCAGCTCGTCACCCGCACCGCCCTCCAACCTGTACTACCAAGACGATGCACCCAGCGCTGTCCTGCGGGACTTCAAGCCCTTCGACCTGGAGACATGGTGGGGCAAGCGACTCTTCCAGAACATCACAAACTCACTCTGAGTCTCCGATGGCACACTCACAGGGACACAAGAGTTGTCGGTAGCGTAAGTCACAATCATCTGAAGTTTACTGAATTTTATAATTAATTAAATTACTGCAATGCACATCAAGAAAAGTATTACAACTACAATTTTATGTAATACTTTCAATTGTGGTTTTTATACATTTTTATACTCTGGTTAAGAAGTGCTGGCATTTCTTTTCATTTTCAAAGGAAACTCATTAAAAAAATATTAAGTACAACAAGAAACTCATTGATAATACTAAATAATATCTGAGTTAACAATGTACCGAATATTCTTCAAATATGAAGAAAATATAATCTAGATCGTTTTTTGTATGTTTATTGCTTTACTTTAAAAATCTGTTATCAAATAGATGTTTATTTTTAAAAGTTTTTACCAGTAGATATTTTCTTTGCTTTATTTTTGCTGTCATTTGAAATCTTATAAACATGTAGTTAGTAAGAAAAGATTACAAAATTTAGTAATCTACAGTTGATTGTGGATCTCAATAGATATTTCATATCGTAAGTGAAAATTTCCAAACGCTCAATTTCCTTTTGCAACTTGAAATATGTTACAGCGAACCAATATTCTTTAAGATTGTTACGTTGATCAAATTTTATAAAATTTTGTTGATACATTTGTTACTGGTTAAAATGTATATGAAGCAAAGAAATATACCAAAGAGAACAGCATCCTATACATTAAAAAAGTTATAAAATTATTAAATTCCTAAACCTGTAAAATTTCCTTGATCTACAAACAGATTTATTGTATTAATATTGTTAATCCTATGTTAGCCATTTTAAAATAGTAAAAGATTCATAGACAATTATAAAACGACGCTGGGTAATGTTTAAACCAGTCAGGACTTGACCCTGAGAATGAGTTCGAATTTTGTTACATACCTAAATACTTTATAATTCAAATCGTAATTTACAGAACACAATTTTAATTAAATTTTAAATTCTCCGCAAAATATAAAAGAATCAATTACAGATCGACCTTACTTTTATCCCATTTTACAAATATTTTATTTACTATTTATTTATAAAATATGTATTTTAAAAGAATATAAAAAGCAGGACATCGAAATAATTTTACTATGATCTGCTCTTAATAAATCGGTGGTATATAAATTAAAATTATGTATAAATATTACTAAAGCTACCATATTAATTAATATCAATATGTATTTTATATCGTTTTATACAGAAAATACACATTTGCTAAGATGGTTACTATAAATTTTATATTAAACATGTATCATAATTTCATTAACTGCATGAATATATTGACACCATCAATTTTCTCATGAAATGTCTTCAAAATCTATTATAACTGTAGATCTGCTGGCGACAGTACAATTAGTAACCTTATTGTCTTGTATTTAACGATGATAATAAATAATTTTCAATGCTGACCCAGCAGAGCAAAATTAGACAGCCTATTTCCTAGGTAACATCAAAATGGCCTATCATAGATAAGATAGACTTCAATATCGTATGTAATAATGATTCGCTGTTGCCAAATCGATAAATATGCCGTCATTTTAGTCCATTTGTTATAATGAACTGTTAGCCAATTAAAATCATGTGCAATTTCACTATAGTGATCNTTGTGTTCAAATAAAATATTAAATATTTATTTATATTTTTACCACTTGGCAACGAAGATTGTTGAAGTTTTACGAGAAATGTTATCAAATAATACCTATTGCTATCATTTCTTCATGTGATTGATGCTATTTGTACCTAAATCATTGAAATATTTATAATCAACCAAATTTTAAAGTAAGATTTTATGGTAGCTTTTATAACAAAAAAATATTGATTCAACTTATGATTGTGCATGTTATTGACGTTGTTATACTTATAGGCTCTTGTCTTATAGATTATTTCATATTTTATTTTTATTGTACTCTGCGTACTCACTATACAAACAGATTGTTAAACGTTACAAAATCATTGGTTAATAAGTGCTTGATGTTCGTGAAAGCTTATACAATTATTGTGATCGTTACTGAATATTGTTGTTATATCATGTTGATGCATATTGTTTCTACGGGCTTCGTTTGCAAGCTGAACAATGTCTTCCAGGAAATTCTACATCAAGTGTAATCATGTGTAATAAGTATGTAAATTCATTTAAACAAGTATAATTCGGTGTTCAGTCCAAATAAATCTGCATGTTCTCAGTGAAATCAGTCTAGTTAGTTGACTTCGTAAACAATTTCTCTAAAAATAAAAATACATTAATTTAGCACAAATCTTTTTGCAAATTAATTGTAACATTTGATTTGAAATCAATAAATACAAAGTTGAGCTGTCGAAAAATTAATTAACTTCATAGATTCCTGTTGCTATACAAAATATATTAGGAAGTCACATTTTTGATAGCACTGACTGACTGGTAATATGAACTATTCAGTTCAAGTTACCAGTTAGAGCTATTCCGTTGTTTGCTAGTTGATTAAGACTTATTTGGACCTTTCACCTCTATTTTATGCTTGTTTAAAAGGAAAATTGGTGTTAACTAGATCGTTAAATTGTCCTTACCTTGCGATACTGTCCTCTCGTTATTCTGTTCCTACATCTTACTTTTTATATCGAATTTGGTCGATTGTACAAAATTTGTAGGGTATAAGATCGGAATTAGAAACGTTCTTCAGCCTGTTTCTTACAGAAACAAAAAATACGCTTTATAGGTACAGTCGGGTTCATAAATATATGGCAGTGCCAATGTTTTAAAATATTATATTATTTATTAGCCTTTTAACGATATATTTCAATACAAACTCAAACATCAATGAAATGTAATCTTATAAACTGTTCATAAACATGTTGCGGTNTACCCTTTTAACGATATATTTCAATACAAACTCAAACATCAATGAAATGTAATCTTATAAACTGTTCATAAACATGTTGCGGTAGCGCAGTATTGACTACGCTACTGTGCTACAATATTTTGAAACAGTACTGCCAATACTCGACTGTACCTACTACCCACTAAGGTAAGCTACTAAACTCACCCTGATTTCACGATTGTGATAACTTCGTTGCTTTAGGTACCGAGTGCATTTTTGTGGAATTGAAATAGCTAGATGCAAAATCGTTAATTCATTTTGATTTCATGAAGATTCCGAAATGGAATAGTAATAAAAAATTACAGATAAAAATGGTTCCCCTCTGCGTAGCAATAGAAGGATGAAAGACGTTTGATTCAATTCTGATCCTATCAAGTAGTATGTATTCTTACCTACATCCAAATTCTCGTTCTCCTCAATCTTAATCTTTGGAATATTGGTATTATTTATTACATGACAATCTGTCATAAATTATTTCACTTGGCTTGTACATTATATTGCGGATAACTGTACCTAGCTCATTTGTTGTTAAAAACTACCTTGTATTTATTCCCATAAGGTGTAATTTCAAATGTTCTGAAATAAGCATCACAATTAATGTACAAAACAGGTGATCTGTGCGAAGCAATCTTATTATGCAATAAGCAATAAATGCACAAATGTAGTATAGTTTTTATCCTTTTAGATGGAATATTTGAGCCATAGTAGTGATATGGCAGGAGAATATTTTTAGACTGATTTAGTTATAAAAAGTTATGCTTTTTGTTGTAGTTGAATAAACCGTCTGACAAAGAATGCAACCACTTTCATTTATAAATTCCTAACATTTTTAGTCAAACCTCTGTATAAAAATATTGTCTCTTATTAATTTATTTAAAAGACGTTGATGACGTATGACCCATCATCTAAACTTTGCTATTATATCAACAAAACAAACAATCGATTCTGATTGTATGAATTTTCAATTTTTCTTTAGATTTACACAATATTATACCTACATTGTTTTCTGAAATGCAAGCTGAAGAAGTGGCGAGCGGTCTCTTTACTCCAGAAAATATAAAATGTGTTGAGATCAACAATTTTGCCGTAAGTACTTTCAGCTGCTCCCGCTTAAACCTTAAACCATTTCATTTGAATCGAGTTTATGCCTCTTTAGTAAGCTAAGCGAAACTCGTCCTAGCCAGTTAATTTCTTAAACGTGTGACTTAATCTTTTCTGCCCAGTCCACCCCAAAGCATGAAAAGAACTTTGTGAACGGTTTACAAAACGCTCGGCAACTGCTAGAAGGACTGCAACGGAGCCTCGCCAAAACCAGCAAGTATGAAGATCAGATGTTGCGATGCAAGTCCACTCATGCGCATTCCCACGCTTACTGGTGGGACAGCGACTTCTCGGAGAAGGAGCCCAAGAGTTCCAAAACAGGCAAGTACCCTACTACATACCTACTCCTAAAACATTCGATTACCTTCTAGAAATTTTTAGTTATTGGCAGGAGTCTTCTTAAACTGAATGCTTTTGTAGAGTTCCACTTCCATTCATGCTTACAGTAAAAAATTAGATGCATGTCAATACGAATATTTCAGAGATAAAACCAAGAAGTCACGTCAACTTAGCAGAACCTTGGTCTACCACTAGCATCGTTTGTCTTCAGTACCAGTGAGTACAAAACTAAAATACCTATTTCCAATATGATTTTTTGCATTAGCTTTTAGATTTGCTTTTATTAATCAAGGATAAGGGGTAGTGTATGCTCTTAGAACCAACCAAGCTATCGCTTAGTGGCCAGACTTTGGCTCAAGTCCGTAACCTCAGCCACGATTACATACATTGATGTATGCACGGGATCAATCCCACCATTCTTTCCCACCCACTGCTCCCGCCCACTGCAACTCCTGTAATAGCCAGGATCCCCAGCCACCTGACACGCATGAAGAAGGACTGCTAACTAAACATAGTTTCATAGGTACGAAGAGTTATCAAAGCGCTACGAGTCCTTACTCCAATCCTACCACGATCGATGCGCGGCGGTCGGTGAGCGGGATGAAGCCCTGGGCCGCCTGCGCCGCCGTGTCAGAGATGCTTACGCGCATCTAACTCAGGCACATCGCACGCTCATCGCTGTGGGGGACAAGTATTTGGATCTAAGCCGAAGGAAGCGGACGCAAGTATGCTGTTTGTTGTTTTATAGCTTTGTTTAATTATTGTAAGACGTATAAATATCGCCGGGTTAAATGTCTCCGAGTTCTCGCTCAAACGCAACGCTTATCGCTCTTATTCTTTGGATGTAGAGTTCTCCAGCAAAATTCTAATATGGAATGACTGTCCAATCTAAAATAAAATTGGGGCTTTCAAGTCAGGGATAAAATGGGATGGGTTATCTAGAATTAAAGCCTTCAAAACCACGTGGGAATAGCTGGCAACGCCACATAGATATTAGCCTCAAGCTCGGATTCTACTAAAGCGGAAAGGAGATATTTTTGAATAACCAATCAGGTTATTTCTGCTTTACCTCTCCACACAGCTTCGGTTTGGAAATCTGATTGGTTATTCAAACCGTTTCTCTCTGCTTTGATGAAAACCGAGCCTCAAGGATAGATAGATACTCGAGTGCATCAGTATAATCAAGTTTTTATTTAGAAGAACAAATACGAACTGAAGATCAAGCACCTGAAAGCGACAGTACGAGGCGTGATGGCCATGTGCGAGCACTCCAGGCTTCAGCTCGACACCACCATCGCTCGATACCTGGAGACCGAGGGAGAGGCTCCTAATGCCCAGTTGCTGGCCGAAGTGAGTTCTAACAACGCTTTGTACAGTGGACCACAGTTCCAGCCACCCATTTCGTTTTTTCTCTCGCTCTCATCAAAATAATTATGGTAATTATTTGCGATAGAACGAGACGACATGACCGGAAATGGGTAGCTGAAACTGGGCGATTAGTACAGTCAACAGCACTTCTAGACTTTTTGTTGCAAAATAGGTACTAGTATTATATTATCTGTGGTAGTAGGTAAGTACCTGCACATAAAAACATTTTTTTTAATTGTACCTAAGTGGCTACGACATAAGAAGCCACATGTTTCAATTGATACTTTACTGACAAAAGTGCTGAAGTCTAAACACGCGGACTAGATACTATTAAATAATAATGCACCATTTAATATTCGGACTAAAACCCGATTAATATCACCACAACAGTTAAGAAATGGGTTACTCACAAACACATAATTTTTATCAAATTTCCGTTAGCCCATAAAGTTTTCCACTTACAACATAGGTACGTAATTAAATCTAATGTAAGAGGCCTACTCGAGAGGATACGAAACATAAATTTCGATTTGAATGAAGTGAGTCATTGAAGCCAACCTTAGAAATAGGTATCCCGATAAGTCCGATATATCAATCAATTCTATTCACAATAGAAAATGATTGCATTGACACATCGTTTATTTTTTACTATTTCAGATAAGAAAATGCAATCTTCTCTTCTTGGAAAACTTGAGACTCAAAGCCCAGATAGAAAAGTTGTCACCAGGCGAAGCTTTTTCGAAATAACTTTAGAACCTTAAGTTTTAGAAACCTATCGTATTTTAGGAGTTTTGCATGTAAGTAATTTAGAATTGCGTAACTTATTATATCGTAGTTTGTTAATGTTATATAAGTATTATTAACTTAATAAAACGATAACTTTACGTTTTCGATTTGATGATTTTCATTAGGTAACATAGATTAATAAAAATATTGAAGTTAATATTTTATACTTTAATAGAAAACAACTAAAAAGACAAATTGGCATTAAAACAACAACAACCAGTATTTTAACAATTGTCTTATAAATTACTGACTTTTAAATCGTTCAATTAATTGGGGAAACCTATGTAGATAAGTAAGTAACGATATTTTCTGTTGCTCGACCGAAAAAAGACGTGTTTTTGATATTTGTAGAAGAGGCGGCGTTTGTTGACTATCTCCATTTTCTGCAACAAAACGTGAGGAATTTATTATCACATTGCTGAAAAACGTTTGCCACAGAAGGTCACATTTGCTAAATTATTTCAGTTGTGCTAAAACTCGAAAAGGATACTTTCATTGTTGTACGTGACTGACTTGTTAAGGTACATGATTTTGAAAAAGTAGGTAGTGGCACAGTTTTCAAATAAAGGTCAATTTAAGACTCGACTCTTATGTAGACTGTAATATCTAGCTCTACCTTACTAAATAATCATCATGTTTACATCTAAGATTCAATGACTATCGCTTTGCAAAGAAATATTGTCATTTTCAGTAGATATCATCATAAAAATATAAACATAGGATAAAAATGTCATGATTTCAATGGTTCTCTATCATCATCATCATCTCAGCCATAGGACGTCCACTGCTGAACATAGGCCTCCCGCTTTCCATGTTGCCCGGTTCTCTATACTTCTTTAACATGTTTTTAAAAGATGTTTGCTTAAGTGAAGCAGCAAATCGAACGCACAGCGTCGTATAGAGCTCTGTGATTGGTTCATGTGTCGCCCTGTGCGGCCCTGTGTGAGACCTCATAGTAGTGTTTTTGAATACGGATGAAATAGATAATACGTAATACGTCAAGCAAACCTTGAACATACTCTTTAATCTGTGAAGCCAAGCAAATCCTTACATTTGTACTGAGATGCCATCACATCGCCGCTGCCTTCTTCATCTCTACTTCACGTACTGATTGTGGAGCCTCCTGATCTCGTACTCCATGCCATCCAGCAAGTACGACAGGTGCTCAGGGTCGGCCATCAGGGCTCTGTCAACCGACGCGGCTAGGCGGAGCACTCCTCCGTAGCACAGGGCTGTGACGTCTAGCCCTGAAAATGAGGAAAAATGTACATCACTTTTCTAAGGCACGAACATAGGCAGGTACGAAACTGCCTTTATCTTAATAAAAGGCATCTCGTAAATTTTCTCGGCTATTTTAAAATTTAACCTTATCTCTTCATCATAAAACTATGCCTATTGATTTAAGTACTTATACGCTTAAGTACCTAACCAATGTTACTTATTTCAGTGAAAAAAAATATGTTTTTGAGATAATTGTTATGCAAAAGACGAAATGTCGGAATTAAGCCTCCTCATAATAAAATAACATCGTCGAAACTAACGACCAAACTTAAATTCTTCGTTAGTAAAAAAATATAAACAATAGATCTCAAACAAATTCATTCGCTTAATCGCAACTATTCCAAAGTAAGCACTAGCATTTGCTACAAATCGTTCACTCTACATGACTACGAATTCGTGAGAATCTAAGATTTCCCAATCCACACAGTTTATCGTCAAGACACGTTGAGGTTAACTGTACTGTGTGCATCAAAATCATCAAATAAAACAAGTAGGTAAACCTTGTGCATATTTGCTTAGAGGTGAAAATCGCGATCTGATATTAGCAATACTGTTTCTGAAGTTAACCATACTGCCAAGCTCAATAGTAGCTTCTCTCTATAGACATAAGGGTGAAGCTGTGTCTGTGATCCTCACTGTACCTAGGTAGTCTAGAATCTAGATACTCATCTGATGAATCATCTACGAAGTGTAAACCACGATGCTAGGAAGATGGTGTTACGTTACATTGCCGTTGGCAATAAAGGGGTGTAGTGTTTCTAGGGTCATCCTGTACCAACGTCACTTATGTATTGTATTACAGCATGTTGCATTATCATTGATATTATTGTTTAGCACATTGGATGCAAAGCTGTTTCACTGAATCAAACGATACATTTTTTTATATCAGACCAAGCAATAGGTAGGTAAAGGTGATGTTTCCTTATCTATATATATAAAAGAAAGTCGTGTTAGTTACTCCACTTATAACTCAAGAACGGCTGAACCGATTTAGCTGAAAATTGTCAGGGAGGTAGTTTAGAGCCAGGAGAAGGACATAGGACTTTTTATCCCGTTCGAAATAAAAAAAGTGCTTATTTATTGCCATTAAGGCGGAACAAAGTTCGCCGGGTCAGCTAGTTTCCTGATAAAAGACCTGCATTTAACTCAGTCTGTGCTTGAGGTCTGGGAGCGGCACGTCAAACGTTAGCGAGAGATCTATATGCTCTGTCACGTCATAATTATGTCAATGTCACCCCTCCCGCGCCGTTCCCATACCTCAGACACTGACTGAGTTAAACGCTGTAAATACAGATGCTTTGTTCTACGAACATACTTAACACTCCCACGCACGTGCCTTACCGGTATTCCCCTTATGTGGTACGAAGAATACTAATTCCTTGAGAGCGTTGCCCCCACATATGCTGAGCCTATCAGGCCCTGGCATGTTGCTGAACACCATCGTCGCCTGGCTGCTGTTCAGGAGAGGCTGCAGCACTTGCTTGGGCAAAACACTGACCAGTTTGATGAAGTNATTATTTTGTTGTGTGATAACCATGACCTCTATCTAGGAAGAAAAAATTAATGAAATCGTTCAAATTTGGAAGATATTTAATAAAGTATGAAAATTGTTCAAAGCTGCCCCCCTCTCCCCTACCTACCTTTTTATCTACGTTCTTTTTTAATGTAGATATTTATTATTGGCTGGTTATTTAAAATGCAAATATAGTATAGTTTAAAACGTGTGTATCTATAGGTACTTACCTTACTTACCTACTTACATAGATGAAAAATAAGACGCGTGTAATAAGCCTTTATTGTATGAAGAAGCTGTAGTAGAAAATAAGAATGACCTTGCAACGCAATAAATTACACGTTCAAGAACATCATCCTCAATAATACTGCCCGAGCTCTTAATAACTAGTAAATTATTCTGCTGTGTAACAATCAGTAAATGTGGTAGATATGTCGCAGGCAAATCGTATGATTCCTCATTTTACAAATGGCGTCGTCAATTTACAAACGCTCGCTGTCCTATGAAATGCCGAAGGCAAATTGGCAACTCGTTCAATTGTTAAAATTTCGACTATGATTGTTGCAATAGGGTGACCATCATAAAACACACGTTGGACAAATCAGACATTATTTCACAGAAATCAGGTAGGTATCTATTCAAGTAAGACAAACCTAAAATACTTGCTACTCCTAAAGTAATTAAAATATTTTCGTAACAAAAACAACACTAGACTAATTTAAACTATTGACGTACCTATAGGTAGGTACATAAAAATATGACATTAAATAAGTTTCGATAGTCAGTCCTTTAGATAAGTCTTATATTTTAATTATACCAAAAAGAAGTCTAGAAGACATAACACAATATTTTTTTATACCAATATAGCCGAGCACCAGATTCCATTGTCACCTTAGCGTGTTTTACGTGCCGGATAACCTCAAAAACTATTTTATTTTTCCATAGCTTTTTCACTGCTCCTATTTGTGAATCGTAAAATTTTCTTAACTCACTAAGTATAATAAATGTTATAGCCATGTAAACTTAAATGTTCAGTCCATTTTTAACTTTTCGGAAAACTTTAAAGCTGAATTTTAAAAAAACTAGATGATATTTGCCAGTAAATTTAGATTTGATGCAACCCTACATCAATGCACGTCAAAACAAAATATTTACTTTGAGGCTACGCCTAGTAGTTTTTTTTAAAATCGAAATTAAATGATGCGATTTGGGTATTTTGGTGAAATTATTAAAAAAATTAATATAAAAGTAGCCGCCTGGCATGGAACCTGTTATGGGGGCTGAAAATATAGGAAATGACCCCTTCTATACGCCAAATCATTTTGGCACACGATGCGCCAAACACCCTGTATAAGTATTATTAACTTAATAAAACTATAACTTTACGTTTTCGATTTGATGATTTTCATTAGGTAACATAGATTAATAAAAATATTAAAATATTTTATACTTTAATAGAAAACAACTAAAAAGACAAATTGGCATTAAAACAACAACAACCAGTATTTTAACAATTGTCTTATAAATTACTGACTTTTAAATCGTTCAATTAATTGGGGAAACCTATGTAGATAAGTAACTAACGATATTTTCTGTTGCTCGACCGAAAAAAAGACGTGTTTTTGATATTTGTAGAAGAGGCGGCGTTTGTTGACTATCTCCATTTTCTGCAACAAAACGTGAGGAATTTATTATCACATTGCTGAAAAACGCTTTTTGTTTGCCACAGAAGGTCACATTTGCTAAATTATTTCAGTTGTGCTTAAACTAGAAAGCGATACCTACTTTCATTGCTGTGCGTGATTACACTAGTTTACAAAAAAAATGTTTTTCTTTTACCCAAATATAATTCATATTGGTTGTGTTTTCTACCAGCCCCCTTATTACAAAAATATATGTCTCATATTTTTATCACGTCAAGTTTTTGAGATATCCACATTAACCTAAGTAAGCTGTCTTGTTAGCCGTATCGGAGTTTCTACTTTATTTCAATTGCGTTTAAGTATTATTTTAAAATTTTCACTTGTTTTAAAATGTCACCAAGGCAGTGTAAATTAAGCCCAAATAACTTTTGCTAAGTTTGTGGTCAAATTATATTGTCAAAAAAGAAGAGACCAATCACTGAGGCCGTAAAACGGGCCAATTTCTATTATTTTCAAATCTCGGTAACAAACCTGATAAAAATGGGTTCCTGGTGTAGTGTGCGAAAATTTGAGAAGTATATTATTGCACTAGGCTACAGGAAAAAGAAAACATATACGATTCGGCACCCCAATGTTAAGGAGAGAACCAACAAATCACACTAATGACTGTTACTTCTGCCTCACTGAAACTACAGGTTTTAACAACAAAAACCAAGAACATACAATATTCTGATGTTGCATCAGTCACAAAACATGTGCTACAATCTGAAGGAGTTCTTTATCCGTCATTGCCCAGCAATTCCAGTAAGGGAAAGATGCTTGGTATTAATTTAAAGCAACAGTGAAAGTTTCCTGGGAAACTATAAATTTATCTGAGAATTATGCAGAAATTGTTACAAATTATTGAGGAATTACCAAAGAATGGGTGTGAATAAGTCGTTAAAAATTCATTTTTTACATTCTCACCTGGATTTTTTTTTTGAGAACCTGGGAAGCGTGAGTGTTGAGCATAGCGAAAGTTTTCACCAGGACTTGAGGGTTTTTGAGGAAAGATACCAAGGAATTTGGGATAAAAATATGTAAGCGGGTTGCTGCTGGTCTATAATAAGGGAAACTGATACTAATTAGTATGAAAGAAGGAGTAATACGACTCATTTTTGATTGTTTTTAGAGATGTATGTGTAAAAAATATAAAAATTAATATAATCAATATTTACGAAATTTGACGTCCTAAATTTTTTCTAAGTTCAGTTTTTAAGTAAGGGTTAATAACTCTAACGACACATATCAGTTTCATCTCTGGGTAAAAAACCTTGTAAACTAGTGTTATTAGTGGCACAGTTTAAAAATAAAGGTCAATTTAAGACTTTTATGTAGACTGTAATATCTAGCTTCACCTTACTAAATAAAATCATCATTTTTACATCTAAGATTCAGACTGTCGCTTTGCAAAGAAATATTGTCATTTTCAGTAGATATCATCATAAAAACATAAACATAGGATAAAAATGTCATGATGTCAATGGTTCTCTATCATCATCATCATCTCAGCCATAGGACGTCCACTGCTAAACATAGGCCTCCCCCAATGCTTTCCATGTTGCCCGGTTCTCTATACTTCTTTAACATGTTTTTAAAAGATTTTGCAGAAAATCGAACGCACAGCATCGTATAGAGCTCTGTGATTGGTTCGTGTGTCGCCCTGTGCGTCCACGCGCACTTTGAGACCTCATAGTAGTGTTTTTGAATACGGATGAAATAGATAATACGTAATACGTCAAGCAAACCTTGAACATACTCCTTAATCTGTGAGGCCAAGCAAATCCTTACATTTGTACTGAGATGCCATCACATCGCCGCTGCCTACTTCATCTCTACTTCACGTACTGTTTGTGGAGCCTCCTGATCTCGTACACCATGCCATCCAGCAAGTACGACAGGTGCTCAGGGTCGGGCATCAGGGCTCGGTCAACCGACGCGGCTAGGCGGAGCACTCCTCCGTAACAGAGGGCTGTGACGTCTAGCCCTGAAAATGAGGCAAAGTTTGCATTTTGTCTAAGCTAAAATTAAGGGAGGACCGAAAACGTTTGCAAATAGCAACATTAGCAACATACATTTCTCTAAAACTGTTCAAGGAAAGGGCGCGTGGGTGGTGGGAAACTATGCATAGGTTCATGCAATTTTAGTCACGAATGAGGCGCTTCACGGGCTTTTTGTGTATTTTTTTTACAAAAGTAAGCTGCTTTGCATTAGCTGCTTTATTAGTTTTTCTGTCAAAAGGTAGGATGGCTAAATAAAAAAATAATACTACCTCATAAATAAAAATCATCAACATAAACCTATGCCTATTTACTTTTACGCGCAAGCTAGAAACATAAAAGTATTGAGGTACTTTCAAGACGACAAAATCAATTAAAACTCTTTGTTTTAACGTGCTATAATAAGGATCTAGAGTTTCTGAAATTGATTTGATAATTAATGATCCTCTAACTAAATGAATGATTAAAAACTTACAGGCTCTTCGTTTAAAAAAATGTAATAATAGATCTCAAACATTCGCTTAATCGCACCTATTTCAAAGTAAGCACTAGCATTTGCTACAAATCGTGCACTCTACATGACTACGAATTCGTGGGAATCTAAGATTTCCCAATCCACACAGTTTATCGTCAAGACACGTTGAGGTTAACTGTACTGTGTGCATCAAAATCATCAAATAAAACAAGTAGGTAAACCTTGTGCATATTTGCTTAGAGGTGAAAATCGCGATCTGATATTAGCAATACTGTTTCTGAAGTTAACCATACTGCCAAGCTCAATAGTAGCTTCTCTCTATAGACATAAGGGTGAAGCTCTCTGTGGTCTTCACTGTACCTAGGTAGTCTAGAATCTAGATACTCATCTGATGAATCATCTACGAAGTGTAAACCACGATGCTAGGAAGATGGTGTTACGTTACATGCTGTTGGTAATAAAGGGGTGTAGTGTTTCTAGGGTCATCCTGTACCAACGTCACTTATCTATTGTATTATAGCATGTTGCATTATCATTGATATTATTGTTTAGCACGTTGGATGCAAAGCTGTTTCATTAAATCAAGCGATACAATTTTTATATCAGACCAAGCAATAGGTACTTAAAGGTGATGTTTCCTTATTTCTTGATAAAAGGCCTAGCATTTAACTCAGTCTATGCCTGAGGTCTGGGAGCGGCACGTCAAACGTCAGTGAGAGATTTATTTATAAATAATATGCTCTGTCACGTCATAATTATGTCAATGTCATCCCTCCCGCGCCGCTCCTATACCTCAGGCAGGCACTGACTGTACATACAGATGCTTTGTTCGTCGAACATACTTAACACTCCTACGCACGTGCCTTACCGGTATTCCCCTTATGTGGTACGAAGAATACTAATTCCTTGAGAGCGTTGCCCCCACATATGCTGAGCCTGTCAGGCCCTGGCATGTTGCTGAACACCATCGTGGCCTGGCTGCTGTTCAGGAGAGGCTGCAGCACTTGCTTGGGCAAAACACTGACCAGCTTGATGAAGTAGTGGTTCGACTGTAAATTAAGCAATATTTCATGAATTTTTCCAAATTGAAAATATGCTTCAATTTACATATTTTCATTTTCACATAAAAATAATTTAATTTTGTAAACTTAATTTAAACGCAAATAAAAAAAACATAACCCTCCTTCTGGCGCAGTCGGGTAACAAGAACAAGTCCAGCCAAATCATTAAATTAATTTTGTTCACTTCCAGTAACTATTCATAGTTACTTGGTAAAATCGTGAAGGAATTATAAGACTGTTGTATTAAATAATACTTACCAAAGGATCAGCGCTTTTACGTAGATTGTTGCATCGGTATTTTATTTCATTTAAACTCCTATTATCCTTAACTGGCACATCTAATATGGTCACGCTAAAGTCGTTCTTCAAAAGCAAATTACTCGTAGGTTTAATGGTAGATGATTTGGGGAATCTGACAGGAACTATTACTGCTAGGTCTTCTGGAACATGGGCCATTGTCTAAAAGTTAATGACAAAATTAGGTTATTCAAATTAATTTGTTACATCGTCGCAAATTGTATAATTTACCTTAGTAAAGTAATTATGCAATCCACTGGATAACGCAGTTACTAACACATCACTAAAATTTAAATTATCCACATTATCCTTGATCTCCTTAACCATTAGCAACAAATTCTCGTCTGATTGTGTCCATCTGAAATACTTTTTTCCCAACAATGATGGGCCATGCAAAGAATTCTTATCAGGTTTTCTCATAATCATATCAACAAAACAGAAGGGAATTTCACACAATTTCAATATCATGTCTATCAAAGCACCGGGGGTATCGTATATTCTTGTTTCAGGAACAGAAAACATGTTTACAGAACTATTTTCTTGTTTATCTGCTAATGTTTCACATAAAAACTCAAGCAGAGCTACTCCATCGCCAACTGAATGATGTATTACGAACATTATCCCGTATTCACCCCTTTCCTCGTCATAGTTTCCCACCCTTTGTTTTGTGACGTAAATTTTGAATAGGCCTTCATTGTCATAGGGCAAAGATTGGTTCGAAATCTCATCCATCACATCTTCTAAGTCTACAATACTTAGTTCATCCTTGTCTGGTAGCTCAATCACTTCAACATATTGGCTGAAGTCAATGGTACTGTATTTTCTCCAGTAGTAGAAACCATATTCTTCATTTCTTCTGTAGAATATTTTATCGATACCTTCGTTACCAACTGTTATATTCTGTAGCTTAGTTTTAATGTTATTGGCCAGTTCTTCTGGAGAATCGGATTCTATGACTCCTATAACGTTTATAGTAGCATCACCTTCTAAACTCCAGAAAACATCAAAACTGTCTAGAAATCCTACGAAATTTTTGTCCCTTCTTCTTATGATTACTGAACACAACACTTTGTAACATACAGCTAACACTAAAAGCAGTATGACTATGGGTAAACATATCACTAAAATTATTAACGCTAGGAGTCTTGACACTGTTTTCGTATTTAAACATCTTGTTATCACTGAACTGGATTTACAGAACTGTAACAAAAACAATAGCAATAGTCAATAAAACAATAAAATAGCAATTACAAATTCGATTCGCTGTGAAAACCACATAATAAAATAACATACTTACACTATAATGCAAAATAAAGTTGATTAGCACTCCGATAAACATGGCCGATAGGTTCCCAATGTCGACTGCCTTATTAGACTCTAGTGGCAGTTGTTGTCTTATCAACGAATTAGTTCCACCAGATATATTTTCGGTTACATAATTCCTAGCCACTGAACAATTGAGGTACCTACAGTTTAAGGTTATCCATTTTTGAAACTGCTCACTTTACTTCAGCAAAGTTTTCGCTCAACTACAAGCTTCTTTTGGAAGATATAGTAGCAATTGGAAAAAATACTCGTCTTCGAAATTGTCTGTGTTCCACTCAATAACAAATGCACTACTGAGGGAATCCGTTAAACAACTATCACAACCCGTTGTAGGTGACGCGTAAAGAAACCTTACCATCAAGACAATAAGTTTATCCAATTAGATTATGCAATATCTACGCATGTTGGCCTATTCCTTGGATCACTAATAATTACAGAGATGACATAGTTCAAAGGTGTATACCGATTTCGATTTGATAGTTCGATTCAATTCATTTATGTCCCAAATAAAATTACGAAATGTAGATTTCAAGGAAATTATTTTTGAGTAAAGAAAATACACTGGACCGCAAAGAAAAAGGGTTTGTAAGAAACTCTTCTACATCTTCAAAACTTACCAGACAACTTCAACAAATTGTTGGCAATTTCAAACTCCGGCAATTTCAGCCGGAGATTTAAAAAAAAACCTAGCTTTATGAAACAAAACATACTTCGGGACTATTCCCACCTCTCGTTCCCACCACTGCAACTCCTGTGTAGCCAGGATCTACAGCTTGACCGCCACAAAAACCCAACCAATGAAGGTCAAGTTTGTCCCGGGGGAAAGTTAAACTGTCATTGGACCCGCAACGAAATTAATCAGAAGAACATAGGAGGAGTTCGAAATTAAGGTTCGACTTCCCTCCATTGCAAAGCGGATGACAGGTGACAAACAAAGGTTTAAAACCTTTAAGAAAAAGATTATGCACCACGGACAATAAATTAAATTAAGGGGGCCTATCTTATGAGCAATTAGCAACTACCTGCCAATAATATTTTTCACAAAATCGCTTAAAAGCACGGAAATTTTTCCTTGTCGCGACAAGATCGGTGTAATAAATTGCNTAATCATGGCAGCAATACGAAAAGGTGAAAAAAAAAATTATTCGTATTGCTATGATACAGGTCAGCTAAATTTGTTGACATTTTCAAAAATACGCACAGGCTATATGCTACTCGCAAAATGTCTGAAAACAAACTTTTTCGTAATACAATTATAAAATCTATGTACATTTTCACTATCAGACGTATTGCTATAATACCGACTGTCTTTTTTTTTTGACACAGCAGAACTGGCCTCCCACGCAGTTGCTACACTTTCGACCATTACTACACACCTAGTCGGGTTCAGAATCATACAATCTAACGATTTTATAGGGTTTTTTCCGTATTGCTATGAGACATGGTTTTGGTCGTGGGCTCTCGTACTATAAAGAAAATACACTGGACCGCAAGAAAAAGGGTCGATTTGAAAATCGTAGATCTCTTCAAAACTTACCTAGCTTTATAAAACAAAACATACTGGAAAAACTACGCATTTTATTTATTTTTCATTGATTAAAAACAAAAAGCTTAGAATTAGTTTAGTCTATTCATAAAACTAGGTCAGGTACTTTTGAAGATTTTCTAACCGACCCTTTTTCTTGTCCAATGTATTTTTGCGTTTATCAGGAACGACAAATCTAAATTATACAATTTTGTGTGTAGATTGCTTCAAAAGAAAATAAAAATGGATACATGAGTAGAGTGTTGAGGAAACAATAAAAAATATTTCGAATTACTGACAAACAATTTATTTTTATTTATTCGTACCGATCGCTGATATGTTACATCAATTAGTTGCTATTAACACAAGAGGAACTTGCACAGGCGACGTTGTAACAACGTGATTAATGCATTTTGTACTTATTTTACTTAACTACTAATCTTATTGCTAGCATTTAATTAACAAAATTATAAATCATACATCATTTCCTAAATTAATTTCTACATTTTTGTATGCTACCTACCAGTGTCAATGTTAATTTAGATTATCACATCTGTTAAAGGTACATACATGCATTTATTTACATTCATGATACATAAAATATTCAATTATTTACATATTTATGTACATGTCATGCAAATACAATCAGTTTATTACCATGAACTACAAGTCCTTGTTACTTAAACGAGCTATATTAGCACTTTTGTACACCTTTAAATAACTTGATTATTAACGTCATAACTCCTATTTCTCAGCAACTTTACCATTCTTCTGTCTTTTGATGAAGCACAGAACATTTATCCACACGAAAGACACTGTAGCAACGTACACCACCCTCAAATGAGGAGGCACAAAAAAGAAGTTCACAGTCTGGGAGGGAATCCAGAACGCCTGGTTTGCTATCAATGTCTTTGTATACTTTTCCCGCAATTCTTCGAACACGTCTTCCTTTCTTTCGAGAACACCGATTACTGAAACAAAGCATGTGTTACAGTCGCTGTAGCCTGTAGGGTTATAAACAAGTTAGGTATGACACCCCGAGAAATAAAAAAAGGAAGTTTTCCGGCATGTTACCTATGTTCCACAAATAAACGAATTTGATTTGATTTGATTTGATTTGGCAGCTTTCCATTTTTAAAGAAAATTGGTATTGAACATTGAACTAGGTCTTCCTCAAAGTCTACATTTTAATTGACACCATAGAGCTAACAGCCAAACCATCAAGTTTTTAGAATCTTCTGAAAGTGTCAATTATTCAGTCGCTAATTAATAAGGCTGGGTTGCACCATCTTACTTTAACTTTAACAAACGTTTGTCAAACTCCATACAAATAAATCTCCGGTTATCGTTCAAGTTACGGTCAAATGGTGGTGCAACTCAGCATTAAAATATTCAACACTTACGCGTGTAAAAAGCTGCCAGCAATATTGGAGTGGCAATAAACTGTTCAGCAGCCACCTTCTTAGCCACTGTTTTCACTGCAGTTCCCGCGAACGTCTTGTCCAAAAATCTGTACCTGTCAAAACAAAAGTATAGTAATTACTATACAGTCGACAATAAATATTTTTTTGTCGCAAAATAACTACTGCTTCAACCAAAGGTAGAGATAAACACAGATAAAGGTAGCAGGAAGGCGTTGGATGCAGGCCGCTACCAACCGTGCGATGTGGAAATCGTTGGGGGAGGCCTACGTTCAGCAGTGGACGTCCTGTGGCTGAAATGATGATGATGAAGATGCTACAGTGTTTAACTTGGCAGATCGATGATAACTTATCATTTAACTACAGGGCTATAATTATAAATAAATCTTGAAGTAGCTCATCGATTTTTCTACGACTGGTTGGTTGAAAAAGTGAATAATGCAAGGAAGTGTCTGTTGTTAATTAAAACAATGTCATATCACACTTTAATTAATTATTATTAAATCATGTACAACAAATTACAATTTTAATTAGGTGATAGATCATAATAAAGTGAGAATGATTTATAATAATTAACAAGGAATAGTGGCGTTCTTGACAAAATAAGTTGGGCATCAGATACCTTTTGTAAGTACTTAGGTAACGTAAGGTGAAAGAAATTTTCAACAATTATTATAAAAATGTTACTTAATTTGTAATGTGCCTAAATAAATTAATACTAATTATAAGCAGCCAGGCTTAGTTAACCGATTTCAGTTATGTTTTCGTGACATTGTAACGATGAAAATAAAAATAAAATTCTTTCTTAATAAATTGGAAAGTCAGACAAGTTTTTTGTTCGGCCGAAGTTTATCTGTCTCTTTTCAAACAATAAAGAGAAAAAGTTATTGTATTTTCGTTTAAATATCCATTAAATGCTGAGCCGTTTTGCAACATTTTTCTTTACTGCTCCGCCCCTATTGGCTGTAGTGTGTAGGGTGTTATATTATAGCCTAAAGCAAAAGAATTAATCAAGAAGCAAATCGGACCAGTAGTTTCTGAGATTGACGCGTTCAAGCAAACAAACAAGCTCTTCAGCTTTATAATATGAGTATCATAGACTTTATTACTTACCAATAATACAATGCAGTTGGATAGACGGTGCTCCCTGCTACTACGATGCGTGCCGCCGAACCGAAGTCATATTCAGGTTTTTCAGACTGAAATTGAGGAAAAAGAATTTACTAATGTCACTCATACCTCTTTCTTCTGACAAGATTCATTCGGGAAACGACTTGACGACTATGGCCCTGTTTCCACCAAAGCAGAGTGGAGAAGTATTTTGAATAACCAATCAGATTTAATTATTTAGACCAGAAAATCTGATTAGTGGTGAAAACCGGGCCTGTGCATGGAATCAACCTAAATTCAGAAGAACTATACAAAGCCAGTAAGTGATAGCCAATAATTTCAAGACACGACTTCTTTAAAAACTCTACATTCTAGGCTTGAAAACCGATTAAACTGACTACAGTTTAATCGGTTTTCAAGCTCGGTTTATACTAATAAAATATAAATTATGGTAATACCCGTTGAATTGTTAATACGGCGGTTATGATTTAATTCTAGAGCCTCTATATTACGTGCTTTACCTACTTAATTGCCCACTTACAGGAAGCATTGCAGGCGACGCCATTTTTGTTGACTGGTTATCCATTTATGGGTCGAATTACATGCACTTACCGTAAATGCTACCTTTCGTTTGCTTATTTAACATGAAGTTTCATATTTTGCGACACCTAACCTAGTCGTCGTAGTTATGTAAAGAAAAAAGTCATAAGTAAGGCAAATAGGTATTTCAAGTCTGGAGACTAAGGCTAAAATATTGATGGTAGAGCTTAAGTAATTAGCCTGCATAATTTTTTTTTTTTTTTTTTTTTATCCACAACGAGGAAGCTCTTGGCCTGTATCTCACCTGATGGTAAGTGACGATCAGGCCGAAGGTGGAAGCGAGCTTCACCCGGAATCCTCAACCACGGAGGAACTGGCTATCTTACCTCTAACTGCCGGAACACAACAATGCTGTTAACATTGTTGTTATGGCGATAATACGGAATGTAGAGTTCAATAGCAGTATAAAAATATTTTAAATTTATCCGCAGCTATTTTTGCTATTATTTTAATTGTAACCGTCCCAGCAATTTAATTAATTTCAAACCCAACTAAATGGCGCAGTTCGGTACACTATGAGGTAAATTGATCAAGACATTAGTGTAAACACGCATTTCACTTAATTTCGCTGAGTGTCGCCCATACTTCGGTGTGCGTGCTCGCGCTTCTGTACGATAAACCCGCATAGTGT